AGAAGCATAGTTTCCCAATCCTGTGAGGTGCTGATCCCCGTCTACTGAGCACTGGTTAGGCCTCACCTTGAGTATTGTGTCCAGTTCTGGACACCGCACTTCAAAAGGGATGCTGACAGACTGGAACAAGTCCAGAGGCGGGTGAGAAGGATGATCAGAGGACTGGAAACCAAGCCTTATGAGGAACGTCTGAAAGAACTGGGCATGTTTAGCCTCGAGAAAAGAAGACTGTTCTCAGTCATCCCAGAGTGCAGGTCATGCAACAATGGACTCAAGTAAAAGGAAGCCAGATTTCAGTTGAATATCAGGAAAAACTTCCTAACTGTTAGAGCAGTACGACAGTGGAACTAGTTACCTTGGGAGTTGATAAGCGCTCCAACACAGGAGGCGTTCAAGAAAAACTTAGATAATCAGTTGGCAGATATGCTTTGATTGTATACCCGCCTTCTTTGATTGTATACCTGCCTTGAGCAGGGGGTTGGACTTGATGGCCTTGTAGCCCCCTTCCAACTTCATTTTCCTTTGATTCCATGATTCTGTGATTCAAAGCTACTAACTTAAGTGTCAGTCAGCAGCTGTCCTGGTAAACAGCTGAGTTTTATATGCTTCTGTTAGCAAAGAAGATTATAGAAACATAAACAGCAGCAGAGGTGAGGTACAATATCATGCCCTTAACATCTTTAAAAAAGATCAGTATGCTTAAACATGGTACTGAAATCAGTTACAGTGTCGCCTCGCATTATGACGTTAATTCGTTCCAGCGAAATCGCTGTAGAACAAAAACGTAATGCAAAAATAAAAAGCCCATTGAAACGCATTGAAATCCCTTCAATGCGTTCCAATGGGCTGGAAACTCACCATCCAGCAAAGATCCTCCATAGGGCAGCCATTTTCAGTGCCTGTGCAGTGAGGAATCCGTCCCAGAAAACAGCAGGGAGCCATTTTATTTACCCGGTGGCCATTTTGAAACCGCCGATCAGCTGTCCGAAAATCATCGTTTTGCAAAGAATCGGTTCCCGAAGCAGGGAACCGATCGTTGCAAAGCAAAAACCCCCTATTCAGACCATCGTTTTGCGATTGCAAAAGCGATCGCAAAAATGTCATCATAATGCGGTTGTGTCATAATGCGGGGCAATTGTAAAGCGAGGTACCACTGTACATTAATTGTTCACAGAAATGTTGCTGCACATTTATCTGATATTATGTCACATTATTTAAAAAATTCCAGTACTGCAAATGGATCAGACTTAATCTAATTAAAATAAGCAGCCTGTGGCCCATGGGCCACATGTTTCTCACAGGGAGCCAGATGTGACCACCAGAGCCTCCTTTAGAAGTTATGGAATCTATCTTGTTTTGTTCTGAGCCCTCAGCCGAGGAAACATGGGAACTCCCACCTTACACCCCAATGTTAATTTTTTAAATGTGCCCACTAGGGGCACAAGGGGACATTTACAGAGGGGGAAAACCCCTCATTCATTTTTTTGTAAGAAAGTTTTTTTTAAGGGGGTGCAGAAGTGGATAGTGGCTTCTGGACCTCTGGGGGATGCCTACTCAGATTTAACTTATTAGTGCCCAATTAGCCTTAAGGAAGTTTGAGATCTCCTCTGGTGAAAAAAACTGGTCTTTCCTGCTGTACTCCTGTTGTGATGACTATTGCTGGAGGCTGGACTAGATGATCTTCTCACATATTCAGGTAGACAAATCTTTGCTTTTGCAAACCTCAGTGAAAGAAGTTATCATAGGTTTTGATTTGCTGCCATCTGGTGGTCAGATTTGCTGCTTGGCGCAAAAATGATGGTAACAAATGCTGCATTAGTGGTTGATTTAGGAGAGAATCCAGGTTTTGAACACCAATACTGCTGCTTCCATTGCCGCCACCACCATCATAATTGTGTTATTTTAGCTGCCAGCTACAAAAATCTAAGGTCTGGTCTTTCTGGGAAGTTAAAACTCTTTTCACTTTTTTATCATTGCTACTGATCTTACTTTTGTTTAGTATTATAACATAATTCTTCTAGCTGTGCAGCAGAAGTGCAGGGATTCACAGAGTGGAATAGCTTCAAGTTCCCCAAAGTAGTCCACCACTTTGTCACTAATTGGCACTTCGGCTCATAGTTCTTTGGATCCAACACAGTTTTAATTACTCCCTCTGAGACATTAGTAGGGGAAAGAATAAAAGCTGTTTTCTTTATTTAGAGTTGTGAACAGATCAATCAGCAAGCTAACAAACATGACTGACTGCTTAGAGAAACAGACTTGAATTCACAAGAAGAGGGAAAAAGACAGCAGAGAGGTGGGACTCTCTCTGGATTCAGAGGCAGAAAGGAATAATTGGTTAGTCCTGGATAGATTGACAGTCACCCCAGCCCAGAGGTTTCCTCCCAGTCAAACCTACCAAAGTCAGTATGCAAGGTTGCAAAAAGCCTAAAAGTTTTGACTTTAAAAAGTCAATGTGACAACTAAGAACAAAAGAAGAAGAGCTGGTGTTGTTTAACAAATCCTTGTGTAGACGTTTGTACAGGAGTTTGTGTAGTCTTGTAATAAAAAAAGGAGATGTCTAGTTCTGTACTTAAGAAAAGTTTATATAGCTATTCCCATGCTTCCCTGTGTGCAAGAGATTTCACAAAGCATTAGGTAAGTGGAAGAATCTATCTGTTTTCAGTTTCAGTTTCAAGGAACATTTAAGCATAAGACATAGAATTACTGTTTCATAAAGAGAAGACAATTACTATCTGCAGTACTGTATTATTATTTTTTAAATTTTGAGTGGATTCAAAAGCAACAGGAATACAAGATGGATTGGTTTAATAAGGACAGCCATGGGGTTCAGTTTTCAAAACCTGAACAGGGTTGTTAATGATAAGATATCTTTTGGAAATCAAACATTCATAGAATCACTCTAGACCAGAAGCAAATAAAGGGCACATAACAAACATTAACAGCTACCTGCGGAAATGTACCTTTGCATCCAACTCACAGTTGTTTTTGTGATACAAACATAAAAATTCTGCACACATGTCTTTACCATTGGGTTGTTTTTTTTAATGGCTAAGAATGTGATCAGGAAATTAGTGCACTAACCTGTGGGAATATTGTTTTGGCTTTTAAAATGGTGTTTTAAACTAATAACGTCCAATGATTCCTGGCACAAACGTATATCCTGTTTGTGCATCTTCTTTTTGTTTCCTTAAGAAGCACACAGTGTATTATTCAGGGTTCTTTCAGGAAATCCGGTTCTGAGTTGGAAAAAATGGTATTTTTAAAATATATCTTCTTCTAGACCAGCATAACAATACTTTTATTTTGTCGGATTGTAGGAGAAGAGAATTTGAATGTAATGAAAATAAGTCACTGTATTGCTGGATGGTGCACCTGCACTATTTCTCCCATCTGAGCACTAGAAAACATAAAGCAGATCTGAGATCCATGCAGGCCACAAGTTGAGCAGCAGGAGATGGCATGACTGAGCCAATTGGAGCCATTGTGGCATTATCTGTCTAGGAGCATCAAGATCCTAGGTGGCATGTGAATTGGTGCTGGCAGGTCCGTCACTGCTGTGACAGCCAGTTGACTAAAAATTGCATGTTTTTGTGTGTAAATCAGACAGTATAATCTCCAGATATATTTGTAGGTTGGTAGGGGCTTAACTACATGGACAGGTCAAAAGAAGGTCATATTAGTGCCATTTTGTTGGCATGTGGTGGATTGATACTTGACCTTTAAATGTTAATCAAAAAGTAATTTTAACTGCCTGTGTGTCTCTGTACATGCCTCTTTGTGCATACCTATGAACTTACCTTTAGCTGTCGGCTTGAGAAAGGAAACTGCACACTGAACATATCCATACATGTGCAGTTCCCTATCTAATTTCTGATAATAGATATGGATATGTGCTTCCAAACAGGTATATTCCCCAATGGGATTAGCATTGTATACATAGAAATAGATCAGTGTGTTTCTAAAAAAAATTCTTATGACAAATTTCTTCCAAATTAAGAGAGTCTCTCCAAAGCCTGTGTTGCTCTTTAGCCTAATCAAAATAGGCAGAGCTGTCTAAATTACGTTTCTAAACCCCTCAAAGCCCTCTTTCCTGCAAACAAAACAACTGTCACCTTCATCCTTATCCTGGATGATTCAGTACTAGATGATAGGAAAACTAGAATGCCCTTTACAAAATAATTATGTATTTATTGTTTCTTATCTTTATTCTTTGCTTAAAGTATTGTGTTGGTTTTCTAATGAGATAATTTAGTGATTTTATATCTCTCTCCTTGTTTTTCAGTTTCCTCATAGTGCTGATCTGCCTTATATTCAGTGTGCTTTCTACGATTGAGCAATATCAAGCTCTGGCTACGGGGACGTTGTTTTGGATGGTATGCATACAGATATTTGCCTAATCTATATATTATTTGCATGTCTATTTTTCAGGCAGATGGGTTGGGAAGAATATCTTTTTGTAATGTACTTGCAACATTCTAATTTGTACTGTGACATAGAAGCTAGTTACTTATTTCTTATTTGGCTACTGCACTTACAGTGATTCAACCTTTTTCCTGTTTTGGGTGTAAAGATAACTGAGAATCCTTCCAGATCGAGGGGTTTTAGTGCTACTCAGTAACACAGAGAACACTGTGCAATTATTCTATCTTTTCTGCTTTAATTGGAACAAAAAAAAGATCGAAGAAGCAATAGAAACTTTTAGGATTGTTACAAATGGAAGACAACACTCAAACTCCTGTAGGGATTTTACACTGGTGCAACAATTTTGGTGGCTAATTAAAGTTACAGTGGGGTCTTGACTTAAGAACGGCTCGAGTTAAGAACATTTTGACTTAAGAACCACTCTCATAGGAAAATATTGACTTGACTTACATACTTAGATTTGAGTTAAGAACTGAAAAAAAAACCACGTGGGAGGCAGGGAAAGTGCAAAATTTGAACTTTCGGTTAACTGTTAGCCAGTGAAAAGCGTGCCTGTCTGCTTCCTCACTCCTCCCAGCGTTTAGAGAGAGGATTGGGAGTCTTCAGACTGCCTGGTACTGTCTGGACTGTATTTTCCCTGCCTTCCCTGAACCTTTCTTGACCTAAGAAAAAAAGAAACAAAATATCCCCCTCCACTGGTCGAAGGCAGAATAGCAGCTTCCCATTAGTTTCTATGGACGGAAAAGAGCAGATGCGGATCAAATGGTTTTCAATGCATTCCTATGGGATATGCAGATTTGACCTGAGAACTTTTTGACTTGAGAACCACCTTCCAATACAGATTAAGTTCTCAAGTCAAGACCCCACTGTACTTAATAAAATGCTGGACAGGTGCATGACCGGGACCTTATCAATTAGCTGCTGTTACTTAGATGATTTTGTGCTGGCATGGAGCCTTAATGATATTTTAGCCTGTGTCATTCGGTTCCTTATAATATTCTGTGTTTTAGGAAGGACAATTGAACAATAAATCTCTTGTCTGGAGGTATCATATATCTGAATGGTAGGAGTTACAAGGACAACCTTCAAGGACAGCCTGATTTGAATCTGTGGATTTTTTGAAATTTAAAAACTAAACAAAACCATTCAAGTGCAGGAAGTAGATGCAAGTACATTTGTCCAAGGTTCATGGATGAGTATGCATATAAAATACAGATAATGAACAAAGTGTTGACTACTTTACAACATTTTAATTAGCTTAGAGTTTTGCAAGAGATGCACATGCTTTTGTTTGTCTGAAAAGGTTGCCTTCAGAGATGTGCATGCTATTCCTTTTAAGTGTTTTGTATTTATGTCCCATTTAAAAAAACTCTGGATGAATGCACATTCTTATCAATACAGTAAGGTTAACTGTCTCGTGATTACGTTGTTTCAGCATATAACTGGAACAGATTTGCAGATAATAAATGCTGAGACAAAATAATCAGGGGGTTCTTAATCTTACTGTATTTATAAGATTTTTAAAATATTGCTTAATATCTGAACCTCCCTTATACCTGTGCATTCAGACATTGGACTATCCACCAGATATGCTGCTATCTACAAAGTACCGTATTTTTCGCACCATAAGACACACTTTTTCCCCACAAAACAGGGGGGTGGAAAGTCTGTGCGTCTTATGGAGCGAAGAAAACAGATTATATTTTCCTGTTTTCTTCTCCTAAAATATTGGTGCGTCTTATGGAAAGGTGCATCTTATGGAGCGAAAAATACGGGTAATCTGGGTCAAGTTCATGGAATGCTTTCTAACAGCAACATAAGCACCTATCCACCTGTTTGATTCCTGCTAGCATTTCAGCAGAAGTTACTAGCATTTCACCACCTGATTTAATTTCTTGGAGTAAACCTTTATATTTCATTTGTCTGGTATTCTTTGAGTGCTTAGTCCTGCAGTTGTTGTTTTTCTGTTGTGGGTTCCCCATTATTTGTCTATTCATATTTAATGTTGCCAAACCTTAACTTGTGTTTTTCAGAGTCAACTTTCAGAGTTCACGTTCAGTAGTGCCACAGTGGTGGTTTTTAAAATGTTCTTCGGGTACAGTTTAATATGCGTGTACAAAGCTGGCCTTTCTGTGCTTGTTGTTTCTTACTGATGTATAATTTTTGTATGAATCTGGTGAACTGTTACATAAGGAGAATGACAAAATACTAGTATGATTTTCTGTTTCTGTGCAAAAAAAAAAAAAGAGAGAGATCTAATATTGGTTGCAGACTGTTTAATCAGCAGAATAGAGAAGAGTTGCCGCTTGCTCCTTTGCAAGGCTTCTGTGCAATCTACTCCAGAGGCTTTGGCCATCTAAGAAGGTTACAGGAAACTGCAGAGGAAAGGGGAAAACCCTGTTTCTACATGTACTTCTGCTGGTGTGATGTTCCATTCCACCCTGAAAATTGAGAAAGTAGAGGGATGGCACCTCTGGTTGTAGTGCCTCCATTATAGGAGACGAAAGATACCAGATATAAAAGGAAAATTTACCAAGCATTTTTTAAACACTGGGAGCTTGTAATTCGTAATTGTAAAAGGAAACCAAAGGAAATCTTCTCATGAAGATTTGGATAAAATAACAAGAAGAGTTAAAGTAAGGTCTGTAAAAGTATGGAGACTATTGCTTTATCTTTTTTATTTTTTATTTTGGTAACCCTGAATGCCACACAGCACGATGACATGTATTGTTGACTGTGAAAGTTAACAACACAAGACATGTGGCTTAATATGTGCTTCCTTGAATCCCAAAGAGTACAGTCCATTTTCACAGTTCCAGCTCTAGGCAGGTAACTGGGCATTAAATGTGGAACTAGCATGTATTTTTCTGTGGTTAAAAAGACCTACCTACTGAGCTGTCCTCGACCTCCATCAGCCTATGTTTTTCTTGGGCTTGAAAAAGTTACTTTTTGGATTACCATTTCCCTTTGCTGGTTGGGGATTATGAGTGCTGCAGTCCCAAGAAATAACTCACAAGTTGGCAAGTTGCACAAATCTTAAATGAACAGCAATGGCATTCCAGCCACATTTTAGCATCTATGCAGTAATCAGAAAGTGTACAGAACAAAGTACAGTATTTAGGTTGATGGTTAGATGTTAGGTTATTGAGGCACTACATAACTAAACACGTTCATTTCTAAATTATTTTAAATAGAAAAGTAAGCAGAAGCATTAGTCTGTCAGAAATCATTGAGGTTTCAAAGGGCTTGTTGAATTCACTTTCAAATGAATTTGACTGGGTTTACCATCAGTTCTGTAGCCATGCTGCTTTATAAGTAGTCTTTCCAGATAGCCTCCCTACCTCTACATTCTAAGATTCACAAGAGGCTGTAGGATTAATCTTGTACCACTAGATGGTAGTGCTAGCAGAATTTGTGCTCATGGCCTCCTGCTGGCATTTATTCAACCCAAGCTAAAGTTGAATACAAGCCTGTGACTGGATCATCATGCTGCAGGGTATATGTACACTCGGCATGCTTAAAATATTGATGCAAGACCACTTTGGCCATGACTCATAAAGGGAATGAGGCGTATTTGTATTAAAATGGTTTCAGAGACCTCAATATTTAAACTATGGAAAAAGTAAATTCAAAGACATGTTCTCCCTGTGAGACTATATCTTCTATTTTATTTTCATAAGCAAGTTTTTTAATGTTGCCAAGACACAGCAGAATGTTGTTATCTCAGCATGATCTAAGAAAATCCAGGCACATGATCCAAGTCGATTAAACGAGCTTATGAATAGACTAATATTAATGTACCTGAAAAAGTTATTTTCCCTTCAAGAATCTCATTTTGTTGTGAGTCTGGGTCCCAGAATTCCTGTAGATGATGAAGTACGTGCAGCACCACATATGTTAGATTACTTTTCATCACTTTGCCCTTCTTTTTGTTGTTTTAGAAGAGTGTGCACATTGATGTTTCATTGTTGGTTTGTAATTAACATATTTGATTAAAATGTTTCTTTTTACTGTTATATTTGAGAAATGCTATGCTAGAGTCCACACCAAAGGAAAGATCTACAGTGGTGCCCCGCATGACGATGATAATCTGTTCCATATAAATGGCTGTTTAGCGAAAGCATTGTCTTGCGAAAACCATTTCCCCATTGGAATGAATTGAAACCTGTTTAATACGTTCCAATGGGGAAAAATCGTTGTCGTTCTGCGAAGATTGCCCATAGGGAAGCCATTTTGCGAAGCGATAATCAGCTGTTAAAAAGGCTGCCCTGCGAAGCATCAGTCCCGAAAACACCCGTTTTGTGAAGCGCCGATCAGCTGTTCAAAAGGCTGCCCTGCGAAGCATCGGTCCCTAAAACACCCGTTTTGCGAAGCACTGATCAGTGTCAAAATCGTCGTCTTGCGAAAATCGGTTTGCAGAGCAGGGACCCAAACATCATCCTGCAAAAATCGCCCATTGGAATCACTGTTTTGTGAATCGCTATAGCGATCACAAAACCTCATCGTCATGTGGATTTGTCATTTTTATTTATTTATTTTTTGCGAGGTCGTCTAGTGAGGTACCACTGTACCCCTCACACACACATTTTCTGTGGCAAGAAGGGCATTGGTTGGGATGTTAATTGAAATTTGGTTGATAGGTTGTTGTTATACTTTTGTAAATGAGAGAGAACTAGGGTAAGCAGCAAACGGGCATGTAGTACCTTAAAGGTAGGAATGGAAACTTGAGTCACGGAATGCAATGTCCAGTTGGACTTAAGTTGCACCCGTGACTTGACTTGGACTCAACTTGGGCTGTTCCCCCCCCAATGATTTGAACTTGACTCATAACTTGGAACCCACCCTTCACTCTCTTTTTTTTCTGGGGGGAAAAAGCTTGTTTTTAATAGAGACTGGGACTTAGGGCTTGCGGCTTGTGGCTTAGGATTTGGCACCAGAGTCTCACACATGA